AAAAAAAAAAATGGAAACTGAAGCCCTATATTCCTAGCAGCACTGTTTATAATAGCCAAGGTGTGGAAACAAGCTAAGTGACCAGAGACAGATGAATGGATAAAAAAGACACTATACATATACAGAATGGAATACTACTCAGTGACTGAAAAAGATTGTTATGCTATTTCTGAAACATGGATGACACTTATAAAATAATTCTAAGTAAATTAATACAGAAGGAAAAAGATAAATACCAAGTGGTCTAATATGTATAATATACATTGACTAAATTAATAGTCAGATAAAGATAAGATGAAAAACTAACCCTTGATATCTGCCTAAAGAACTGTAGGGTAAAGAGGGAAGGTAGCTGTGAAGATTCTTCAGGTTTTGGATCCCTTGGCCTCTGTGACTCTCCTGCTGCCTTAAATGTAGGAGGCGGTGCTTGGAAGTGTGAGCTGGGGCACGCATGTCTGAGAGTGGACACTTTTAATATGATGCAGACATGCTTAAGTGGGCACACCTGAGCCTGGAAGCAGACCATATAAGGGTGGCATCACAGAGGAAGGTGTGGCAAATAGCTGCGAGAAGACTAGGTGAGGAAGAGACCATGAAACAAAACCAGAGAGAGCCCAGAGTAAGGTTTATGGGGGCTGCAAGGTATACCAGCCTCCCCCTCCCCCACTTCCACCCCTTGACTTCCCTGCACCTGGCTGCCTTACAACAAATGGTGTGAAAAACAATCATTAAAAGCCTGAAAAAGCCACTGAGAGCTCCAGGACTCTACTTCACCTGTGTGCTTGGATCCAAAGAGGGCCTGCCCTGTGCCTTCCTGCCCCTCCAGGAGCACAATGGATTCTGGTTGTTTTAATGTTGGATGCAATGCCATGACAGTGCTGATGGGATAATCCTAATGTTACCAAATTTAAAATAGTAAATTCTGATTTAAAAACAACAACAACTACAATCCCAAACTTCAAGCTGTACTACAAAGCCATAATAATCAAAACTGCATGGTACTGGAATAAGAATAGACATACAGACCAGTGGATTCG